ACGCAGATCGGTCATATTTTGTCTGGCTCGGGACGGGTCCGGGGTCGAACACGGGGCCGAGACGAGGCCGAGCCGGCGGGGTTTCTCCGTGGATGGTCCGACCGTCCCAGCTCGGTCTCTTGATAGCGCGGGAGGAGAGGGTCGCCTCTGAATCACCTGAGGATACTCGTTCCAGCATGGTTTCGAGGGGGAAGGGGAGGGTGCAGCTGTCAAAGACACACCCTACTTGTCCCAGCGGGTTCCTCTCATAGCACCCACTGTTCCGCGCTGTTCCGATCTAACAAACCCGCCTTGACCCGTCCAGTGATGGTATCATCTCCCAGCGTGCCACGCACCTGGCACACTTGGGCGCAAATCGGCTGTTTTGAGCACCACGTGCGCACCGGCCGCCTAATAAAGTTGTTTAGAGGGATCGGTTTGCCGGTTCACGACGGGGCGCCAATGGTGGCGGTGGATTTTTTCATCAGCGGCTCAGCTGGAGCCCGGCTGGCCGGCGCTCACGCCCGGCCCGCACCCGGCTGACACCCGCCCGCACCCCTCTCACACCCCTTTAGCGCCGCCGCCGCACCCGAGGCCGGCCATGGCACCATCACCGGCCCCAAATCGACCCCAGATCGGATATCGGACACCGGACGGGCGACTCGGAATGCCGCGCCGATCCGAGCGGCGGCCGCGCGGTGTGAAGAGGTCGGAAAAAGCGGCATGGCAGCCGCGGCGGCTCCTCAATGGTCGCCTATCTGTGGCGCGGCCCTCTGCGGACACTGCGCTGTGGTCACGGCGCGCTGATGGGTTGCTGATAGGACGGGCGGCTGGATGGGCTGCGGCGGCGGCTCGGGCGCCCACCTGCCCCCCAGCGCCCCCCGCCCCGCCGGGGCGCTGTGAGGTGCCGCTGCCGCCCCCTGACCAGCCGACGAGCGGGCTGGCTGACCTGGCCTGTCGGCGGCCTCCTGACGGTCCCAACACCGCCCTGCACAGCAGTCCACCTCGCCAGCTGCCAGCTTCACCGCCCCGCCGGCCGGGTCCGGTGTCCAGGACTGATTGCCATCTCCTGCCCATCTGTCGCGGCGGGAAGCGTCCGCAGTGGACAATACATGACCAGAGCCGGACAGGACGAGCTCTGTCCGACAACAGGTCAGCGGGGTCACTGATAGCACGACAAAGAGACACCGATAGTGTACAGACAAACGGACAAAGGGATGACATGAGCACAGCCAGCTGCATTCTGTGTGATTGGTGGGTGAGCAAAAACATTGGCAAGCCCGGGATAATATCGCAATAACAGGATACAAAGCAATGAGCGTTCTGACCCAAACGTACCTACATCTGCACCCAAGGCATGTCTGATATAAGACGTCACCAGGAACAAACCGACAGTTCAACATTTCTCGAGCTCATTTCCATGATGGGCGTTCAAGACGCGCGGACATGACTCCGTGAGCTCGTGCCGTTTGTCGTCACGTGCCTCCCGGAATAGCACGGCACAGTTCGTCACGTGTTCAATTCACTCGGAGCCCCGCACGACATTGCAGTGCCATCGGCACGGCTCCCGTCAATGGCATAGAGCTCATTTGGCTGAAAGGTTTCCCGGTGCGATTGGGTACCGGTGTGAACTGCCAGCGCTGCCGACTGCCGACCTCTTGGGGCGTGGCCGGTGCGATTTGGAGCTCATGGGATGATGACCGATTGATAAGTGTTCCCCAGGAGACATCGCTGGTGTTTCATGGACAGTTCTGTGCTCCAGGTATGGTGTCTAACTCGGGGCGTTAACCTCGCAGGGGGTTTCATTATGCTCTGGGCTTATGCGCAGCGTTTCGTTCCGGCGGGCCACTCTTGCACCGTCCAATTTTTACATCAGCATCTCATGTGCCACACTGCACACCCTCCAGCCAGGCACGCTGAGTGCACTCTGGGTAGGTGCGTTCGCTCACCGAGGTCCCTTCCCCGCCGCCGGACGTAGTCTACGTGTCACATTCGCCTGCATTATGCAAGGCGACAGCGGCTCTCGGCTCGGTGCCCCGCCCGTCTCATATCCCCGCCGGCCCGCCGAGGCACCACCGACGCCGGCAGCGCAATGCCCGCCACTTTTTGCTGATTAGATTAGGAAATTAAATATGCAGTCTCGAGTTACAGCCGTGTTAAGTTTGCGCCGACTGCGTGTTAGACCCCAATGAGGTGTGCTGGAAAAACGGCACCCCGACGGACAGGTGTGAGGGAGCGCAACACGAGAGGCGCCAAATGAAACCGCATGAAAGCGCGGCCAGATGCGAGCCGCTCGCCTGTTGCTAATGCGTAGGCGTGAGGCGACACGCGAGCCGGAGCCGCGGCCGACGGGCGAGGACCGTCTTCTGACACGTGAGAGAATGAGACTCATCCGGCCCATCAACGGCCGGGCGGTACACAGGTTCAACGGTTAGGAGGTACAGGTCGCATTGAGGAAGGGGTAAGCAAGAGTCATTGTTTGTTACAATCTGATCGACGCCGACACAAGATTTCATTCACTGCCATGCCTGAGTTTGTTAGCTGGAAAGAGTCAGGTGTTACAATCGAGTCTCAAGTGCAGAAAGCCGAGCGATATAGTCTCCGGGTTACTCGACTCGCCGTAAACATCATTGCATTAAAAATATATTCCTGATTCGATCCTCGATATGACAGTTTTGAACCACTGATTGAGCGGAATTCGATCACAACAATCATTGCAACGTTGGTGTTCCAATGTCCCTGGTCTCCCGGAAAGTGATAGCGCCGGCTTATCCACAGCTTGACACTAATGGCTTCATGATAAGGATTATATTGCAAGTTAAATGCACCACAAACACTTGCTTAGCCTTACTTACATTTTGTAAATATGCTAATGCTGATGTATTACAACCCTTTTACAGCTGTTTGTAAATTGAGAACCAAATGGAAAGAGAGACTGAAGCCACATGTTTCTTGCCTTTAATTCACTCGACAGTCGACACTGCCGTGCAGAGCCATTCATTCTTTCGCCAGCTCGCTCTATCCGGAAGCACCGATTCCGTAAAAATGCGAACAACATCGGTCTATACGGAGTTCATTTTGTGAGGACGCCCGTAACACAACACGCCGCATGTAGTACGACTATGACCAGGTGCGTCCGGGCACCGCGCCACCGCCTGTCGGGGGGGGGGGGGGTGCAACATATAAAACTGGGCTGCACCGGGCCGGCGGCGAGCGCTGTAGCGTGTCCTGGCCCGGCCGAGCGGGATCCACGGACACGCCACCGATGTCGGCTGTGATAGCGCCCCTTCAGACAGCGCAGCGGTCGTAGGCAGAACGAAACGCCGAGATATCGAACAGCAGTGCACATTCTAACGGGACAATGCGGAACAGGGGTGCCGCACTGAAACGATTGGTCGGTGTAGATCCAGTGGACATTGGAACTGCAAATTTCATCCTTGTTTGCAGCGATAGAACGTATAATGCATAGAAGCAACCAGATGCACATCGAAACCGAATCAATTTCAGTATTAGCTCATTCAAAGGGCGCATTGAAAAAGGAAAACATCACCACTGCGCCAATTTTGAGCGGTTCAGTATCTGCTATCCCGCAAGTTAAATTTTAAATTGAAACATGTTGAAACGCACTGTCAATAATACGCTCCATTGGCAGCCGGAGTTCAGCTTTGAAAACACGGTACGTACATTACATAAGAACATTTGATCACCATTATTCACTTTCCTTGATCGAAACTGTGTGCAGATAAATCATGCAACCATTGGCTCCCATGCGTTCCGATGGCCTGGTCGAGCGTGCAATGTGCCAATTGAAAAGGCTCGACCACAGGCAATGTTCTGTGAAATGTTCTGCATCATTTGCCCGGGGAGCATCTGACATGGGGAGCCTTCACAAATTGAAAATGCGTGCTACGATGAAGATGCTGCAACCGGTCACCACCAGCGGCACGTCACTATTTTGCATGCCACGAATCGTGTTTGGGAACTGAATCCGCTGCTTTACACAATGCAAAGTCGTGTATCTCGGCTCAGGGGATCCAATATTAAGTACTCATAATCTCACAATAAACGACGACATAAACCGGGCTGCGGTCAAAATATGCCTCGTGTACAATTCCCAAGTGCCTATGAGGGTGATATCCGAGACATCTATACCCTATGAACGACTGCCGCTCGTTTTGTATTGGTGCTCAGTTATGCTCAAGGTCAGCTGTCGGCTGCGAGTGGAATCACTAGTGAAATCACGGTAATGCGTGACACTTGGCGCAAGTCGCGTGTCTGCACGAGACGTGCACACTGCACGTGCAAATGTGACACTTCTGCGCTAAAAATGACAACCAGAAAAACGTACACGCTTCATAACTTATTGTCCATTTTAAACGGAGCTAGATTGCCGATCGGTGTCAATTTTACCCGTGGTTCTTATCAAAGTGTCACATCACAATGATTTAGCGGCCATACACTCGACCGGCCCTGCAGCTGATCAGACAAATGGTGGAGTCGGGTGGCCGAGGTAAAATGTTCGGCAGTCCAGCGGCCACGAGTCATAGGGGTCTGTTCCATATTTCAATAATGGCACGGCCGACAACGCCGAATGGATTTGTGTTTTCATGCTGTACAGCGGAGACGGACGGCGGGAGGATGAGTGCTGGGGTGTCACAGGATAGGATGTCTATCTTACATCTGTGAAGTATATAATCGGTCGATGAGGTCTCACATACAGAACAAGTACCTATTTTTCCATTTGCTTAGTTATGTTGTTGCCTTTTGTCGCGCGTCCCGACTAGGTGTAAATAACAACAAACATGCATGAAATCGAAATATCGATGTCAAGCTTTCAAGATATTCATATGATTATTACGATGATCAATAGCATTGTTAATAAATTCTGCTGAAATCAACTGGCCATTACGCGTCACTATTAAACAATTTTGTAAGAATCGTCCTACCGTGACCGTCAACAACACAGGGCCGTAACTCAACCTCTAAGCACACTACAGGCCTGTAGGACCTCAGGTACTCACCAGAAGAGACGCTCCACGCTGCGTTGAGCATCGCATCCCTGTCTCGGCGGGTTACAGTCCGGGCATATCTCGCCCCGATCACCTGTCGGCCCGCTCACAGCACTGACGTAGTCCACCCAACACCCTCTCAGCATCACCGGCCGCAGCCAACTGCCGGCCCAGAGCCGGCCCACAACACGCCTACCGACCATCCGATAGATGGCAGCACGGGCAGGCTGCCGCCGCCGCCGCCGGGAAGCGGCTTATGGCCGGAACAAATTTATGGCAGCGCAGCATGGCGCCAATACAGCGACAACTTGTGAGAATTATAGGAGCTGAAGGGATGCGGTAAGTTTTTGTCTGATGGAGAGGGCTGTTATGTCGAGGCGCGACCGCAGAGAGCGTTTCTGATGCCAACAGTAACAGCGTGCTGGCAATTAACTCGGTTTCCTCACTGAATGGCGGCATTATTTCAGGGCATTCTGGCTCTGTGTCCTCAGGATAAGCCAAAACGTATCACTGGTCACACTTTCCTGTTTCTCAGGCACCCTATACTCATCCAGACACCGTGATATAGGAGACACAGTACCCAGGGTCTTTCATAATGAATGTTACTTTTAAAAGAGTCTTTTCATCGGACATATATGTTTAGTCCTCATGTAATATGTACCATCACATGAAACAGAAACACATTAGCGTTTTTACACACACAACTTTCATTTTAATGCTCATTGGGGATTTTCCACTGTATCGCCTTTTCTTAAGGCACACGTTTCGGCCCTCTGACGAAGGTGTCGCACCCCGCGCCCCATAACGTCTGGGTCCAGGCTTCCGCCTTCCAGCACACCTCTCCACTGTGGCTCGCAGTGGATGGTTGCAGGAGGGGTTTGTCTCAGATCTGCCAATGCGACTCCCCAAAACCAGTAGTCCAGCGGGAGAGGTCAGGGCTCCGTGTTGCCCATAGTCGCTCGGTGAGGCGGCTGATAACGCGCTCTTCGAAATGTGCGATCAGCCACTGGCGCACAGCTGCCCATCCTGCTGGAACCACAGGCCGTCTCTTCGAACCTTGTCCCTGACCTGAGGCCAGAAGCATTCCTTGAGCAGCCTGAGGTAAGCCACCCCGTTCAGTGTTGACCCAGGGGAAAGCCAATGGATGAAGACTTGTCCGTCGACCGTAATCCGTAATGCGTTTGGGTGGTGTCGACATACTCTGCTTTTGCGTCAAGGAAAATTGCGTTGTGTATTTTTTGGGGGACAAAACCAGGGTTTCGGAGTCGGAGTCGGAGTCGGAGTCGGAGTCACCCGGAGTCGTGGCAAGCAGCTAGGAGTCGGAGTCGGAGTCGGAGTCGGTCAAGCTGCCTCGACTCCGACTCCGGAAAATAACTAGAATCTGTGACATCACTTTTCAGTTTTTTTTTGTCAGTTGCCCGCGGTAGAATTCGCTTCCGGCGATAAAAATTGCACTCATCTTGTTTTTGTTCTAAATGACAAACATTGGATCTTACAAGTTTCAAGTTATATCATAATTTAGTAGCCAAGTATTTTGGATGCCCGTTATAACTTACACTATCTGAAGTATTTGACGAGTCAAAGACTTAAATGTATTTTTATTTTATTCGTTTATGCTCCGAAAAGTATCAACACATAGGAATGACCGACATGATGGCGATGCTCGTGTTCGTGATACGGCCGCCTCTCGTGCTTCTCGGCGGGTTTCCACGCTGACCGCTGACCTCTTGTGGATTCAGCTGCGTCCACGTGGGAGAAATGGTGACTGCACGAAGGAAACCGGAGAGTAGGAGCGTTCTCTCCGTGCACGTAGACCTAGCACGTGGCGTCATATCACGCAAAATTTTGGCGGCCGCCATTGCCATTCGTATCAGACCCGGAGTCGGAGTCGGAGTCGGAGTCGGAGTCGGAGTCGGTCAGGAGCCCGGAGGCGGAGTCGGAGTCGGAGTCGGAACAGCGCTACCACGACTCCGAAACCCTGGACAAAACCCTATTCAATTTGCAACAATACGCATATAAAATTCGCGTGCAAGTGATAAATTAACCCGCGCCCCGCTGGGCTATTCAGCCATACGCGCCCTGATGGGGGGGGGGGCAGATTCTGCCCCCCCCCCCTGTCTAACTTCCGAACCGATGGTCGTAGAAAGACGGGGAAAACGGCAATCGAAAGCTCTCAACAAGGCGGATCTTAAGAGCCCAATTTTTTTTGCTTAAGTAGGTCAGAGGTCAGGTCAAGGTCAGGTCAAGGGTACAAAATGCAAGTTTCTACAGTATCGGCCTTGCACCGTAGTTGCCGAAGAATGGACTGAGACTAATTGCCCAAAACGTGTTTTTAGACTACCAAGACAATATTCGTTGCACACAATGTCATTCAAAGGTCAAGGTCAAGGTCAGGTCAGGTCAGGTCAGGTCACCAAAAACAAAATATAGAAAAGGGCATGTGCGACACATGTTTTATGGGCCATTTTACTCATGGAATTCAATAGGCACACTCAATAAGTGATATGGACCACCTCTGGATGAATTTCAGGTCGAGGTCAGGTCAAGGTCAGGTCAAGTGAGGTCAAATTTTGAAGTTGGTTGTTAAGGCCTAAAAAGGTGTCTATCCGATGCAGTTTTTCACGGCGAATCGAATGGTGCTATTTTTGTTTCCGTACGATGTCTAGAACTTCCAAAAAATTCATTTTTTCAAAAAAAATTGTGTGTCGTGACGTCATAAAATTTTGAATAACTCCCACATTTTTGAACCGATTCTTCTAAAAATTGGTATGTAGGTGCACATAGACCACTTCTTTGACATATATTCCGTTTTTTTTTCAATAAACTCAAAATTTTGGATTTTATTAATATTTCCCCAAAAAAGTCATTTTTTTGGAAAAATTTTGACCAAAATCCAAAATTTTCAAAAAAAAACGAGATAGCCATTTGATAGACAAAGTAGAATCACGTATAACCTTTTTGTTACGTCTTGATTCCTTTAAAAATGAAGATGTTAGCGGCGTTTAAAATTTTGCCGTTTTTGAGGCGAAAATGGCGAACATGACGTCACTGAAACGTCAATATCTCAAAAAATTTCCGACGGATTTCGCTCAAATGTTCAGGGAACGTGTCAAATTGATGTATGATAAGGTACTGAAAGTTTGACGTCGCTGGCGTAACGCGTTTAGAAGTTATTGGCGAAAAACGGGAGGGGGGCAGATTCTGCCCCCTCCCCCAGCGGGGCGCGGGTTAAGAGCTCCTAATTAAATGTTCAAAAGTAACATTCATTATGAAAGACCATGTACATACCTAGACACAGTTCAAATAAGAGCATAGGAGCATCCGGATGACCGTTTGGGCGGATTGTTAGCCAGTCCCATCGTGACACCCCTGTTCCGACAGGATGGGCTCAGCCGTCGTGATACACTACCAGTAAAACGCCTTTTGGGCGAAGAACGAGCGAGCGAGATAGTGAGCCCTGCACGTGCGTAACGGCGAGAGGATACTTCCAACGGGGCTTGTGCAAAGCACCCTTCTAATCGGTCACTAGCGGTGTGCCAAATTTGAACGCAATCGGCCCAGCCGTTCCTGAGATCTGGAAGCGGCATTCTGCACGTGCGCACGTGCAAACGGGGTCCAAACTGACTTTTGCACGGCACCCTACTAACCGGTCCCTAACCGTGTACCAAATTTGAGCGCAATCGACCCAGCCGTTCTCGAGATCTGGAAGCGCCCCCTGCACGTGCGCACGTGCAGTAGCACCCTAACCGCAACACATGGGAATACATTGCCTGGTGGGTGCCTACCTGTATGCCAAGTTTCAGCGAAATCGCCCCAGTAATTACCGAGTTATTAAAATGGGATCAAATTTGACACCTCCCATTGTTGTATTTTGCACGTGCACTGGGGGTGACCCACAAGCATCGAGAGTATCCTATTTTGGGTAGAAGGGATGCTGCTACCCTACAAAAATTACCGCAAGTCAATCGCCCAAGCGGCTGCTGAGATATGAGCCTCTCAAAATCACTATTTTTGCAAAACAGCTTGAACACCCTTGACTTTTCACGTGGCACGTGCCACGACGGTCACTGAGATGTGGCAAAAGTAGTCAATTACGGGGTAGAAGGGATGGGGCTACCCAGCAAAAAAGACCGCAGGCCAATCGGTCCAGCGGTTGCTGAGATAAACGCCTCTCAAAAGCGTTACAGGCCGGGCCGGGCTGGGCCGGGTCGGGCCGGGCCGCTCATACTGAGATTTTTCCGTTATATTGAAAAGACTTCGCTTCGCTCGCTGCGCTCGCTCGCTCGTAATAACACTGCACTATTATATTAACACAATATTAACTTATATTAACACTATATTATAACACTACACTATTATAGGTGATGGTTAAATAAACCTAATAATTTTATCACATTCTAACATCCCTCAGAAATAAGTATACTGCATTTGTGACTTTGCTCTCCGACATAAAAATAGGTACTTAAAAAGCCTCTGGCGACAAATACACTACTCGCTCGGCCACTCCTTTTTGCATGTGCCAATTATTTTTTTCTTCAGTTTATGAAGCGTTGGGTCCAGAGTTCATTTTACAGGCGATATCCGGCTTTTCGACCTCGGCTGGATTTGAAAATGCGTGTCAACATAACTTCAAAGGGAACATATCATTTTCAAAATCAGAAAATGCGTAAATCTATGATTCATATTAAATGTTTTCCAAATACGAGATAAGCATTTAAATTTGTTCACCTATCAGCGATCGTGAATCAGGTATGGATAAGTCGACTTAAAAATATCAAAAAGCCCATTCATATCTCCAGAGCCATGCTAAAGAAATTAGGTAAAAGATTATTCAAACACCAGCTTTAAGTTTTTATTGGGAGCTTTCGGAAGCGTTACAGCTTCCTTCGTCAGCCTTGGATAGAATTCTTTAAAAAAATCTATCCAAGGCTGACGAAGGAAGCTGTAACGCTTCCGAAAGCTCCCAATAAAAACCTTAAGCTGGTGTTTGAACAATCTTTTATCAAATGAATCCGTCCCAGCTCAACAACAACATATACAATCATAGCTAACAAAATAAAATAAAATAAAATGATATGGGCAGTAAGTGAGCGAAGCAAGAAAATAATGTAGTCAATTTCGTATTTCCTGTTATACGATTCTTCCACCATTGGGGAAGACTGGACATGGGAAACCTGATCGTTGGAGACAAACCCACATCCTGGGACATTTACACTCACACTCTAACATAAGAGTATTAGTGATAACAGTTTGACATAGGTAATTAGCACAAGTCAATGAGCTTACTGTATGCCTGGTCTATTGAAATACATTAGCCTGAGGGGTGTGGTAATAACTGGTGTAAGCAAAGTG